CTCTCTCTCTCTCTCTCTCTCTCTCTCTCTCCCTCCCCCCCCCAGCTTCTGCTCAGCACAGCGCCAAGAATCCTGGGTCTGAGTTTGGAAAACCGAAGAGTTTCATAAAGACGAAACCAAACAAGATTCAATGCAGGGCCAGATGCCAAGTCCAAGGCTGGTTGGTTCCACGCGCCCGCCCGGGTTAGTTCGTGGGTCATGAGGGAACTTCTGGCATGGCGCACTTCAGAACTTCAAGTCTCTCTCTCTCTCTCTCTCTCTCCCTCCCCCCCCAGCTTCTGCTCAGCACAGCGCCAAGAATCCTGGGTCTGAGTTTGGAGAACCGAAGAGTTTCATAAAGACGAAACCAAACAAGATTCAATGCAGGGCCAGATGCCAAGTCCAAGGCTGGTTGGTTCCCCGCGCCCGCCCGGGTTAGTTCGTGGGTCATGTGGGAACTTCTGGCATGGAGAACTTCAGAACTTCAGGCCAAAGGAATCTGTACCCAGTGTCCCTGAGGCCTACCAGCTGGAACTGAAAGCCTCAGAGGGGCGGGGAGGCAGTCGGGACTAAATGATCTGGCCCATGAGCCCTTCTGTGCCCCGGGACCAGGGACCCAGTCTCAGGCGTCAGCGTTAGCTGGTACCCGCATCGCGTGTGGCATTCTTTCTCTGAGTGTCTCTCTGCCGTGGCCCTTGGAATAGGTGCACGGTCAGGTGGTGTCAGGGACTAGAATTGTGTATCCTATCCCCCACCTCCATGCCCTAGCTTGGGACCTGAAACTCAGCTTTCAAGGAACCGCAACTTTGTGAGAAGCTCAGTCCAAAGGGAATGGATGACTAACGCCTGCGAGGAGAAGATGCAGAGGAGGTGACTGCTCATTTCTGGTCCTGGCTGGAACAGTAGGACCAATACCAAAGACTGGCATGCAGTTCCTAGCCCTCTAGTCCCACGTTGTCTTAAACTAGTCTTGACCCTTCCTCCAGAGGAAGAGGAGGAGAAACATTTTGGCAAAGATACTTTTCTGCTCCTCATTTGGAAATAGAGTCAGGGAGGAAAGGGTGGCTGAGGGTGGAGCTTGACTTAGGGAACCTTTGCCTTTATCTGGGAATCTCGGTAATCAAGAGATCAAGAGTAGTCCAGCTGCTCCTCTTTGTTCTTCAAAGTGACCACAAATCCCTCTGAAACCCAGGCCTTTTTGAGGGAATCTGTGTTCCACTGGAAAGCAAATAAAAGAGAAGAAAGGCTGAATATCTGGACTTGCAAAGGCTTGCCCTCCTAATGATGTTTATGGCAGTGTCTTCTGATGGCAGGCCCAGGGAATGTGAGGTATCACTGACTTGGTGGATGAGCCTGGGCAAATCCCTGTCCCCAGCTTTGATTAGTAATTGTTCTGGTGAGCTGAAGGGTACATTCGGGTCCCTGAGCCCTTGCACTCCCCTTACTAGTTTCTGAGTGAGTCTTTCGGGAAGATTCGTGTCTGTGATTTTGCTTATGCCATTGGCCACCGTGGAGAGGCCAATATCCCTTCCTTCTGTGCTTCAAAAATGGGCAGGCATGATGCCAAACAACTGTGATCCCAGCAGATCAGCAGAGAGAAGCAGGAGGATCAG